TTTTCTCGACTGAGTCCGAATTGGCTGAAATATGGCAGTTTGATCTGAAATAAAAATCGCGCCGGGGGCAATTCCGTCATTTTTCTCGACTGAGTCGGAATTGGCTGAAATATGGCAGTTTGATCTGAAATAAAATCGCGCCGGGCGCAATTTTGTCATTTTTATCGACTTTGTCGGAATGGGCTCAAATTTGACAGGTTGATCGGGAACAAAAATCGCGCCGGGTGTAATTTTGTCATTTTTCGTGACTGTGTCGGAATTGGCTAAAATTTGATTGGTTGATCGGAAACAAAAAAACGCGGCAGGGGTAATTTCGTCATTTTTCTCGACTGTGTCGGAATTGGCTGAAATATGGCAGTTTGATTTGAAATAAAAATCGCGCCGAGGGCAATTTCGTCATTTTTCTCGACTGTGTCGGAATGGGCTCAAATTTGACAGGTTGATCGGGAACAAAAATCGCGCCGGGGGAAATTTCTTCATTTTCCTCGACTGTGTCGGAATTTGCTGAAATTTGGCAGTTTGATCTAAAATAAAATTCCCGCCGTGGGCAATTTCGTCATTTTTATCGACTGTGTTGGAATGGGCTTAAATTTGACAGGTTTATCCGGAACAAAAGTCGCGCCGGGTGTGATTTCGTCATTTTTCGCGACTGTGTCGGAATTGGCTGAAATTTGGCTTGTTGATCAGAAACAAAAATCGCGCTGGGGGCAATTTCGTCATTTTTCTCGACTGTGTTGGAATTTGCTGAAATTTGACATGTTGATCGGAAACAAAAACCACGTCGGGGGCAATTTCGCCATTTTTCTCGACTGTGTTGGAATTGGCTGAAATTTGGCAGTTTGATCTGAAATAAAAATCGCGCCGGGGGCAATTTCGTCATTTTTCTCGATTGAGTCGGAATGGGATCAAATCTGACTGGTTGATCGGGAACAAAAATCGCGCTAGGGGCAATTTCGTCATTTTTATCGACTGTGTCGGAATTGGCTGGAATATGGCAGTTTGATCTGAAATAAAAATCGCGCCGGGGGCAATTTCGTCATTTTTATCGACTGTGTCGGAATGGGCTCAAATTTGACCGGTTGATCGGAAATAAAAATCGAGCCGGGTATAATTTCGTCATTTTTCGCGACTGTGTCGGAATTGGCTAAAATTTGACTGGTTGAACGGAAACAAAAATCGCGACGGGGGCAATTTCGTCATTTTTCCTAACTGTGTCGGAATTGGCTGAAATTTGGCAGTTTGATCTGAAATAAAAATCGTGCCGTGGGCAATTTCGTCATTTTTCTCGACTGTGTCGGAATTGGCTGAAATTTGACAGTTTGATCGGAAACAAAAATCTAGCCAGGGGCAATTTCGTCATTTTTCTCGACTGTGTCGGAATTGGCTGAAATTTGGCGGTTTGATCTGAAAGAAAAATCTCTCCGGCGGCAATTTCGTCATTTTTCTCGACTGTGTCGGAATGGGATCAAATCTGACTGGTTGATCGGGAACAAAAATCGCGCCGGGGGCAATTTCGTCATTTTTCTCGACTGTGTCGGAATTGGCTGAAATTTGGCAGTTTGATCTAAAATAAAAATCGCGCCGGGGGCAATTTCGTCATTTTATCGACTGTGTTGGAATGGGCTTCAATTTGACAGGTTTATCGGGAACAAAAATCGCGCTAGGGGCAATTTCGTCATTTTTATCGACTGTGTCGGAATTGGCTGGAATATGACTTGTTGATCTGAAATAAAAATCGCGCCGGGGGCAATTTCGTCATTTTTATCGACTGTGTCGGAATGGGCTCAAATTTGACCGGTTGATCGGGAACAAAAATCGAGCCGGGTGTAATTTCGTCATTTTTCGCGACTGTGTCGGAATTGGCTAAAAGTTGACAGGTTGATCGGAAACAAAAATCTCGCCCGGGGCAATTTCGTCATTTTTCTCGACTGTGTCGGAATGGGCTTCAATTTGACAGGTTTATCGGGAACAAAAACCACGCCGGGTGTAATTTCGTCATTTTTCGCGACTGTGTCGGAATTGGCTAAAAGTTGACAGGTTGATCGGAAACAAAAATCTCGCCCGGGGCAATTTCGTCATTTTTCTCGACTGTGTCGGAATGGGCTTCAATTTGACAGGTTTATCGGGAACAAAAACCACGCCGGGTGTAATTTCGTCATTTTTCGCGACTGTGTCGGAATTGGCTAAAAGTTGACAGGTTGATCGGAAACAAAAATCTCGCCCGGGGCAATTTCGTCATTTTTCTCGACTGTGTCGGAATGGGCTCAAATTTGACAGGTTGATCGGGAACAAAAATCGCGCTAGGGGCAATTTCGTCATTTTTATCGACTGTGTCGGAATTAGCTGGAATATGGCAGTTTGATATAAAATAAAAATCCCGCTGGGGGCAATTTCGTCATTTTTCTCGACTGTGTTGGAATGGGCTTAAATTTGACAGGTTTATCGGGAACAAAAATCGCGCAGGGTGTGATTTCGTCATTTTTCGCGACTGTGTCGGAATTGGCTGAGATTTGACTTGTTGATCAGAAACAAAAATCGCGCCGGGCAATTTCGTCATTTTTCTCGACTGCGTTGGAATTTGCTGAAATTTGACTTGTTGATCGGAAACAAAAACCACGTCGGGGGCAATTTCGTCATTTTTCTCGACTGTGTTGGAATTGGCTGAAATTTGGGAGTTTGATCTGAAATAAAAATCGCGCCGGGGGCAATTTCGTCATTTTTCTCGACTGAGTCCGAATTGGCTGAAATATGGCAGTTTGATCTGAAATAAAAATCGCGCCGGGGGCAATTTCGTCATTTTTATCGACTGTGTCGGAATGGGCTCAAATTTGACATGTTGATCGGGAACAAAAATCGCGCCGGGTGTAATTTCGTCATTTTTCGCGACTGTCTCGGAATTGGCTAAAATTTGATTGGTTGATCGGAAACAAAAAAATGCGGCGGGGGCAATTTCGTCATCTTTCTCGACTGTGTCGGAATTGGCTGAAAAATGGCAGTTTGATTTGAAATAAAAATCGCGCCGAGGGCAATTTCGTCATTTTTCTCGACTGTGTCGGAATGGGCTCAAATTTGACATGTTGATCGGGAACAAAAATCGCGCCGGGTGTAATTTCGTCATTTTTCGCGACTGTGTCGGAATGGGCTAAAATTTGACGGGTTGATCGGGAACAAAAACCGCGCCGGGGGAAATTTCTTCATTTTCCTCGACTGTGTCGGAATTGGCTGAAATTTGGCAGTTTGATCTAAAATAAAAATCCCGCCGGGGGCAATTTCTTCATTTCTCTCGACTGTGTTGGAATGGGCTTAAATTTGACAGGTTTATCGTGAACAAAAATCGCGCCGGGTGTGATTTTGTCATTTTAGCGACTGTGTCGTAATTGGCTGAGATTTGACTTGTTGATCGGAAACAAAAACCGCGCCGGGGGCAATTTCGTCATTTTTCTCGACTGTGTTGGAATTGGCTGAAATTTGCCTGTTTGATCTGAAATAAAAATCGCGCCGGGGGCAATTTCGTCATTTTTCTCGACTGAGTCCGAATTGGCTGAAATATGGCAGTTTGATCTGAAATAAAAATCGCGCCGGGGGCAATTTCGTCATTTTTCTCGACTGAGTCGGAATTGGCTGAAATATGGCAGTTTGATCTGAAATAAAAATCGCGCCGGGGGCAATTTCGTTGACAGGTTGATCGGGAACAAAAATCGCGCCGGGTGTAATTTCGTCATTTTTCGCGACTGTGTCGGAAATGGCTAAAATTTGATTGGTTGATCGGAAACAAAAAAACGCGGCGGGGGCAATTTCGTCATTTTATCTCGACTGTGTCGGAATTGGCTGAAATACGGCAGTTTGATTTGAAATAAAAATCGCGCCAAGGGCAATTTCGTCATTTTTCTCGACTGTGTCGGAATGGGCTCAAATTTGACAGGTTGATCGGGAACAAAAACCGCGCCAAGGGAAATTTCTTCATTTTCCTCGACTGTGTCGGAATTGGCTGAAATTTGGCAGTTTGATCTAAAATAAAATTCCCGCCGTGGGCAATTTCGTCATTTTTATCGACTGTGTTGGAATGGGCTTAAATTTGACAGGTTTATCGGGAACAAAAGTCGCGCCGGGTGTGATTTCGTCATTTTTCTCGACTGTGTCGGAATTGGCTGAAATACGGCAGTTTGATTTGAAATAAAAATCGCGCCAAGGGCAATTTCGTCATTTTTCTCGACTGTGTCGGAATTGGCTGAAATACGGCAGTTTGATTTGAAATAAAAATCGCACCGGGGGCAATTTCGCCATTTTTCGCGACTGTGTCGGAATTGGCTAAAATTTGATTGGTTGAACGGAAACAAAAATCGCGGCGGGGGCAATTTCATCATTTTTCCGGACAGTGTCGGAATTGGCTGAAATTTGGAAGTTTTATCTGAAATAAAAATCGTGCCGGGGGCAATTTCGTCATTTTTCTCGACTGTGTCAGAATGGGCTCAAATTTGACAGTTTGATCGGAAACAAAAATCTAGCCAGGGGCAATTTCGTCATTTTTCTCGACTGTGTCGGAATTGGCTGAAATTTGGCGGTTTGATCTGAAAGAAAAATCTCGCCGGCGGCAATTTCGTCATTTATCTCGACTGTGTCGGAATGGGCTCAAATTTGAC